TTGACTTTCAAACATATAAATCTAGCCAATTTGTGTGTCGCTCCATACTTGTTGTTGACTATCAGCCTTAGTGGCTCGTCTTCTTTGTGTATCTCCGGTAATGCGTAAGCTGGTGGTGGTCGTGCATCCTTTCCTTTGATTGAATTTCTTGCCCATTCGTCAATTTCCCCATTCATATGCTTATCTTTCAGCTTGTCACTTAAGATTCCATTGATCTTCATAGTTAGGTCCTTGTTTAGCATACGATATGTGGTCCTGTCTCGTAGAATTTGTTCCATCTTCTGGGTATATTGTTTACTAAGTTGCCCTGACAACAATAACAAGTTGCGACAACAAGGTCAACCCACTTATATAAATCGAAAGGAGATTGCAACTATACCAAAGGCCACAGCATCTTGGTCTTCATATCTTCAATTAAAATGAACTATGTTGGGGAGACTTTCATTTCGTATGAAAGTGCATGACGAAATGAAAGTCTCCCCAACAATGTTATCTCAGGAGATTCATCGAAACCCAGCTTCTCTTCATATCTAAAATGGACTAGCTATGCTACTAAAATGCGTTTAGCAGTAGAAATTTGTTCGCTGTCAATATGCAATCGTTTGTGTCACGGATTGCCAGTGATGCTATGAGATGATAGGACTGACTGAGAGGCATTGCAGGGTGCAACTTGCCTGCCAAATACATATTACCTGAACAAATCAGCCATAAATTTAGCATTAATCCCTCTTCTTCTCACTTGTCAGACTGGGATCGGCTCACCACAGATTTGTCAGTCTATTCAAGTCTTCACATTGTGAGAACACTTTATTTCCGTGGCAGTAAAGGATGCTTTGACAGACTTCAATGTGCCCTAAAACTGTCAATCTGAAGTCGCTCAAGAGGCAAATTACAGCCCCAATCAGAAGAAGCGCCTGGCGAGATGAAAAGACGTGAATGCAGACCGATTTTTGGCAAGCCGAGCAAGTGAATGTTGAGTTGAATTTGCAGATCAATACTTGAGGCTGAATATAGGCTACAACTACCCAGTAGAAGAGAGTGAAACTCCCAACTTCGGCCATGCCTCCGATGTTGTGTAAAGCTCGAAGACAGAAAGGCAATACGATGAAGCAGCGTGCTTGACAAGTGAAATCTCCATTCCCAAGGGGAAACCTGAGATAAACAAAGACAAGACTGAAATATAGAAAGTAAGAATATGGGAATTTTCAACTCACTAACTTGTGGATAGAGAATTTCTAATTGGAAGCAGGGGCTAGGAGTACACGCAACCCAAAGTAGTTATGCCCGAGCAGACCATCTCCCTCGGGGCTATTCTTGCCATGGATCCTATTGGTACAGCTAAAACCCGCCTATCTAAGCCCTCTTGTCACTTTGTGCAGATGTAAGACCCCGCGGAAACTGGCACTTTTAGCAATGCCAGAGAAGGGACTACTTTAGGCTTACTCTGCTTTGGGAAATGAGGCTGTTGTGATGAGACACGTGTTGGGCGAGTTCGTACCATAACGGGCCCATCGGCTTTGTGCTCTGTCCCTTAAAGTACCCCCAAAGTGCTACGGTTTTGAAGCAAAGAATAAGAAAACTGGACTTTGGTTGTACTCTTTTGAGGCAAGAGAACAAGAATAGTTGCCACTTGTAAGCAATCGGGGGGGGGCAGGAATGAGTT